TGATATTCAGCTGCACTAACTCTTAGGGGTACACCACTTTAAGGACAGATCCTGATACAGTCTTCCTCCCGTCTCATGCCAAGATGCAGATGGATAAAATGTTTTCCCTAGGAGAGGTACCTCAACTCTCAGTTTTGTGGTGCTCATAGTTTATCTGTCAGAGTAACCTACCACAAATCATTCCCCAGAATAAAATTAAGCTTTGTTTTATTGGTTTCTTCTTATGGTTTTTGAGGAGCAACTGATGGTACCTTGCTGAGTTGGATATACCTCCCAGTGAACATATCCTTATAAGAGGCCAATACACATACTGTACAAGGATCTCTGAATGAATCAGATGGTTTGCATATGATTTAGAGTGGAGGCAGAGGACAAAGACATTTACAGGGGTGGGGGGACCAGAAGTAAAACTGTTTGAGAAGGACTATCCTAAGATAATTTCCAATAAAAGCATTAATAAGACATGCTCTAGATTTGGTGCTCTGCAGGCTAGTGTCCATCACCTGACTGATGTAGACTTCAAATGAGACAAACCATCAGTCTTTATAGATTCCACATTATTACAATGTTTTTGTTGTAGCTTAAATGTTTTTCCAGATCTCATTTCACCTGTTACCTTTGACTGCCATTACTGAGAAGCTTGGAATGCTTGGAATGCCTTATTTTCAGATGGCCTCTGGTAGCATTTTGTCACAAATCAAGAGTACAGATTGCGCTCATTGTTCTCACCTGCACGCTCTCTCCTTCCTTACAGATAAGTGGAGACTCCACCATACTGTAATCTCGCCCCAGCTGCCAGGCTTTGTCTATCAGCTGTACATTATTGCCACCAGGAGAGGTAATACTGTGGGCCCCTAAAGAGTCCTTTTTCGGAGGCTGTGGTGCTCTTTTGGAGTGATAAATGTTGAAAACAATGTCACCTTTGCAAACATCAAAATCCCAAGTGATCACGGAGGAAGCTTCCACAATCTGGATAAAAATCTAGAGAAAGGGGGAAAAAAGACTGTATTGAAAGCTCAGCCGAGGCAGAAACTGTCTGATGAGAGGATACACACTGTGGCACTCCCATCAGAATTCCCATACATGACTCCTCTAAGTATCCGTCCTCTGTGTCTGCATTTGTTACAGTCACTGCTAAGAGTGTCTTGCTAAACTAGAGAAGAATATTAATTGCTTTTCCATCTGACAAAATGATATTTGTGAATAGCATCACATTTTTAGACAGCACATATAGCCAAATTGTTATTGCACAATCTGATTATTCATTTTACCTTTAAAAAATCTGACCTGCAGAATAAAATCTGCTGCTTCAAAACAGACTATAGAGGCACGGGAGGCCCCCTGTCAGAAGGCCATCTCATCTTTTCCTGGACCTGAAAAGTTTCATACCACAAGCTCCCTGGTAGATCTGGGAGAGCCTGTGTTGGCATATGACTCCCTGGCGGGAAATCAGCAAGTCTGGGAAAGGAAGAAAGCCCATGAAAAGGAAAACGAGCCCTGGAGGAGAAAAAGGACCTGTTGGGAACGGAGACTCTAAAAGACAGCTTAAAGGCAG